GGGCAGTACTTGTCAAAATGCCCCGATACATAGCGCCAAGCTTGCGCTAGGTTTTGTTTTTTTCTTTACCTGCCGTGCCGAGCGTCACTGCTGCTCTGGTGGGGTCCAAATTTAGGTGGGCCAAATTTAGGTCCTCTGTAGCTGGCGTTATTCTGCATTGCGCTGTATATAATTAGAGCTGCAACAATTATTCGATTGTCAATTAAAATCGACGATGGAAAACGTTGCCAACGTTTTCCATCGTCGATTCATCAGCTAAAGGGAATACCACCAGCTATAGAGGAACTACAAATCCCAGCAATAATACATTATACAGGCTGTTTAATATATTATTGCTGGGATTTGGTGTTCCTCTGTAGCTGCTGGTGTTCTGCATTGTGCCACTGTATTATACAATGCAGACCACCATGCACAATACAATGCAATGCAGAATACCAATGTATAATACACCGGCACACTGCAGAACACCAGCAGCTACAGAGGAACACCAAATCCCAGCAATAATATATTAAACAGCCTGTATAATGTATTATTGCTGGGATTTGTTGTTCCTCTATAGCTGCTGGTGTTCTGAAGTGTGCCGCTTTTTTTTTTTTTTTAAACAGAAAAAATAAGGACAAGTCCCCCTTACCTGTTTTTGAACCATTGTATGTCGCTGCAGCCGCGTGCTCCGCGGGCGTGTCTGGCTTGTTCGGTGGGCGGGTACGCGGCGTGTGCGCTGTGGGTGTGGCGTAACTTGTGCATGGAGCCGTGAACAGACGGGCGTGTGTGGCAAATTTTAGCCGACGAATCGACAATGGAAAGCGCTGACAGCGTTTTCCATCATCGATTTTAATCGACTTAATCTAATAATTGTTGCAGCTACATCCTGCAGAACATAAGCAGTTAGAGGAACAACAAATCCCAGCAATAATACATTATACAGGGTATTTAATGTTCTCCAGCGTGCCGCTTAAAAAAAAACCAGGAAACATTAAAAAGCTCTTGGCCAATCTCGACTTACATTGAATGACGGTGTTGTCGGCGGACAGCAGCGTTGTTGGTTGTCGGCGGGTAGCAGCGAGTCGGGAAGCTCACCGGGAGGAGAAGGCCAGACGCATGTCCTCAGCGTGTGCGGTGGCGTAAGCAGCGGGTTTGCCGGCATGTGTGGTGGGCGTGGCACGAGCGGCTTAACAGGCGTGGCGTGAGTGGCGGAGCTGGAAATTTGAGACGGAAAACGTTGATAACGTTTTCCATCGTCGATTTTAAATCGACCTAATCGAATAATTGTTGTAGCTTTAACTGGGACCTCCAGCAATCTATTACTTTGCCCATTTAGAGCAGGGTAAAAAGCATGCCAATTCCCAATTATGCTGTGGCAGATACTCACCTTCCCATCAACCCTTTTGCCCACCAAAGCCTGGAAAAGCACCAGGTAATTCCAGGTATAAGGGAGTGCGACACTCTCGCCTTCCTCCCATGAAGATGTGCTTTAGGCCTGACTGGCCAAGGGTCCTCAGCCCCTAGAACCCACAACTTACAAAGGCACCATGGCCACTAGGGAAGCGTGGTTAAGGTAAGTGTCAGTAGAAGAAAGGAGTAGACTATTGAGTCTACTTATTACTATGTCTGCAGGCTTGCTTCAGGCTAAATGCCTCTCTGATAGAAGCAGCCGCTGCAGCTTTTCAGTTGTATATGCGTTCCAAGGAAATAGCCGTGACACACCGATGTGCAACAGATGTTTTTCTGCTACTGAACAAGCAAGTAGCTCAGAGATCCGACAATGCAAGTCCCTATTAGTAACTAGCTTGATGACAAACTTCCTTTAATAAGAGTTGGGTAATAGCTGCTGCCAGAGACAACAAGCATTTTTGCTTCAGATTGGAGGAAATGACGTGCCATGCTATTGCTTCTTCTTGTGTTAATATAAATCTATTTTTTGACTTTCGGCTCAAACTTCCTCTACCCACAATGCAATCCCCAAAACACAAACACACTTTATAAACATTCTACATTGCGCTTAAATGGCAAACGCAGTTCTTGCACATGTAGTCACCCATAAAAGACCAATGAAAAATGAGCGACCATGCATGGCAGCACAGGTCACAACTTGTTTGTCTACTTCATTCAAACTGCAATTCACTGCACTTTGCCAAACATTTTTGATGCCCTAAAATGCAACACATAACAGGTCACTGCACTACAATGCGATATTGATTCTAGGGCTTGTTCAAACCAGCCACACACTATTCAGGGTGCAGGCTCGTGTCAGTTTTGTAGCGGCGGTAATGCAGCGCCTTGCATTGTTACAATTCAAATTACCTTTTTTAAAAAAACACTTTATTTAAATGTCACTAATGGCATGTCCCTAATCATTTCTATTAGGGATGCGCCGATATATTGGCCGAAAATGGCGGTGCATCCATTCTTTCTCTCCTCCCCTCTGGGCGCTGCTCAGTGATCGCTGAGTGTAGATAATTGAGGACATGGTATGGTTACTCTATCCTCAATTACGAATGAATGTGAAGTGATCTACAGCACCTCCTGTTCATTCATGATTGTGGATATAGTAAACATACTCTGTCCTCAAATTATCAATGAACAGGAACACTCAGTATAGAGGATTCCTGTTCATTTATAACAAGGGCTGCAGAAAAAGAGATTGAGGACTCTATTCTCAATCTCTTTTTCTATTTTAAAAGGGTAATATCAGTGGTCTTTTTAGAAGTAATATTTCCCCGAAGCCGCTAAAAGTAAAGTAAAAAAAAATTAAATATTTAATAAAAAAAATAAATGAAAAAGTTTATAAAAAATAAAATTTGAAAAAAGTTAAAAAAAAAAAACATTGTCCACATTGCCTCTTGTGTTGCATCACTATTCACGGAACATGTGCTTCCAGAGGTGAATGAGGACTGCACAACACAGGTGATTGGGATGATTATACGTGTGTGCGTGTGTAGGAACCCTCAACTGTATATTGTGAAGGGTAAACCAACATTATTTAGAGACAAGCAGCGACACTCGTATTTCACTGTGTGCATGCCTACTGTGAGCACAAGCTGACATGTACAAATCAGAAATATCACAGCAGTTGTACCCTCCAGTAGTCACAACACACAAAATACATGGGGGAAGGGGATTAAAAAAACAAAAACTGGAGCGCACATAATCTGCAGCAACCAATCAGCTTCTCTCTTTAGTTTGTTCAGTTAAACTTTGAAAATAAAACAGAGAAGCCTATTGGTTGCCATGGCCAACTGCTCTCATTTATATGAATTCCTCCCATTAAGTGGAATTTATCAAAACTGGGGCAGCTGTGCATGGCAACCAACCAGCTTCTCTCTTCCATTTTCAAAGCTTAACTGGACAAACTGGAGGTGCCGATTGGTTGCCATGGGCAACTGCTCCAGATTCTGTCTGCTCCAGTTTTGATAAATTCCCCTCCATGCATTTTTAAAGCTGAACTCCGGGCACAAAAACTTTCACTTAAAAATATTCCTCTAAAGCAGAGGCGGGCAACTCCAGCTGTCAGGGAACTACAAGTCCCATGAGGCATTGCAAGACTGACAAGTTACAGGTCTGACTCCCAGAGGCAGTTACAGCACATCTGGAGGGCAGGAGTTGCCCAGCTCTAAAGTCACAAATCCTCTGCATACTCTCAATGTCTTTACAAAGCCAGATATTACCCAATACAAGTGGCAGTGACATAATCACTGTGCAGAGAGAGGAGTTGTGGGAGGGGCCCAGCAGGCAGAAACAAGACCAGCCACCATGCATTATACAGGGATGCAGACATTTTTTTTTTAAATGACTAATCCAAGGACTAAAGCGGAGGGCCAATCTACTTGTATCTCATGACAACCTACTTGTCGTGATACTTTTAACCAAAACCGTATCTAACCGTGCTAAGAAGCGCTTTTCATTGGATGTCATGGGCAACTGCTCCAGTTTTGATAAATTCCCCTCCATGTTATTTTCAGATGCATTTTGTTGC